ACTTTAGTCCTTAGATTGCCGAGGAACAAGGCACAGGAGTATTTGCAACACTCAAAGGCAGCTCATCGTCGTCTCGTTCATGCAGTCATATTAAACTGCAGGCGGGACAGTAAACTGTAGCTGGCGGGTGAAATCGAAATCGAAGATCAACATCGCAGTCAGAAAGAAGCGAAGTGGTGCGGCCGGCCTACCAAAAGAGTTGGAGATATTTTAGTGCCGTCCTCGTAGTCGAGAAGTGCTGATGTCGATTAGGCTTACAAAGGCGTCTGGGACGGGGTCATTTTTTCGGCGATTAACTTGGTGTGGTCAGGTAGAAGTTAGCCAACATATTCTAATATACGGGGAACACCTACCTTTAGAAAGTCGAGGAATCAAACTAAGAGGCGTACCTTCAGCCCACTACTGCACGCTCTGCGGGAACCCATCGTCATCGCGTTCGCTCGTTCGTGCACTCTGAGATCATCAGGTGAAATCGGGATGATGGATAAGACAGCGAAAAACGGTGTTTCAAGCACTAGACAGTTGTCTGGTATGCAGAAAGTTCGATTTATCCATATCCAAGACGCTGAGAGCAGCCCATTGGTTGATTTAGAAGAACGTCATAACAGACTGGATGATTTCTTTTAGCAGTTGCTCTACAGCTGTTCTCCAGATTTCCCTTTCCTAACATTAATTTCCTGCGAACTTTAAATCCTATTGTACACCCACTCACAAAACTAGAAATCCAAAAGGCAGACTACAACTCAGGGTGAAAAAGATTTCCGGTGTGAATCATATTCCCAGGAGTTATTGAAATGTGGCGGAAAAGGAATGTTAGAAACGTTTCATCCCCTGTTTCATCAAATATGTACCTCAGAATGCTTCTCTAGAGAATGGAGATATGGAGCAATTGTTCACATATTTTAAAGGGAACGGGCATCCTGGCGTACTAACTATCATGGTAGTACTCTGCTACCAACTCGCAGGAAACTGTTTTCTTAGATTATACTGGAATGGCTGAGGTTATCACTTGCCTCTGGCTAAATCAAGCAGGCTTCCGGATGCGGTTTTCCTGTCGGTACCAAATTTTCACTCTTCATTGGATGACTGAGCAGTGCAGGCGATTGTGGGTGCGTTGGTTTGCTAGCTTCTTCAGCTTTAAGGCTGTATTTGATCCACTACATCGTCCAGCGATGCGGAGAATCACAGAATGCTATATGATATCTAAACACATCGTTTCCATTTTAATAGAGGTGTGTTCAGAACCATATTTGCAGTTGAAGGAGAGTTGTCTGTGTTGTTCTCTAGCACCCGTGGTGTTCGCTGGAAAAATGTTCTTGCTCTCTTTCGATATTCAGCATTGTTCTCGACGCTGTTTTCCGAAACAGCACTGATTCTGACAGAGACGAAGGTTTCAGTGTAAATGATGGACTCAGTTCAAGATAACCGGCTTAATGTCTTGCTTCCTGTAGTACACAGATGATGTTGTGCTGATAAGTAGTAGGGGAGCGGATTCTGTCACTTGATGGCTTCCAAATGCAAGACATCTCGAAAGTCGGCTAGTTACTTCAAGCCTCGAAGTCAGATGGGGATCGATTTGACGTGGCTGACTTACACGCGAGACAGGGTAGTGAAGCGCTGCAGTAGGTTGAACAGTTTAAGTGTCTGGGCTTTGTTACATCCAGCCTGCCGTCATCCAACCAGAGTTAAATAGAAGGCCCTGACCGCGAACGCTTTTGGAAACCTGTCTAATAATTGAACTGAGAAAACTCTCCGCTTGTACCCCGCTTCTGATTGACCATTGTTGTTGCATGACATGGAAACAGTTAATTTAAGGAAGGACCAAAAAAAGTCGGTTGAACACAGTAACGTTGGCTTCGACGTGTAGTAAAGTTTAGATGGCAGGGCGTCCTTATCGACTATTCAGACGAGCCTGTTCCGGTTACAGATGTGCACCATAGATGAGGAGATTACAAAGATATTGGCTTTATTAGACAAATAAACTATTTACTCCAGCCATTGTGGTTCTCGAATGGAAGCCGAAACAAACAAGCGTCGAGCAGCAGGGCGGCCGACGTGGAAAAGCGGCTTAAGAGGCAGATCTGATTTTGGCGGTAAAATTTTTTACCATTCAGTAAGCGGTGCCTTAGAGCAAAAGTGTTGTACAGCTGCAAATACAGCGGGTATCTGGAACCAGAGACGTTTAGCTTATGGAAACGGCTCGAAGTGGTGATCAAAAATCCGCACACTCTTAGACATGTAAACCAAGTGTAGTCATCATGATCAGGTGGTTTGTTCGTAACTGCTATAACTTCTTAGACTTCTTATTGCCGCCAGAAAAATCATGGCGTTTTG